GTTAGCGAGCACCTATGAAGGCAATAACGGCACACGAGGGGTGGGTGGCCAGTACCACGCCCGGCCGCCTTTGTCTCCCTAGTGGCGATGTTTTTTTACACATCGCACCAGGTACTCATTTGAAGCTGAGTCGACCTCGGGGAGGCTGAGGACCAGTTCAGGTAATCGTCACGGATGTTAGCCGTGAGCAGGAATCGAACTCGGGCCGCCGGGTTTGTAGCGCAGCGCGCTAACCGCTACACCACCGCTCCCCACAACCCACACCCAGCTCCGACAAACCGCACATCCGTGCTGGTTCAGTCGCCCCCCCCGTAGCTCCCATCTCTACCTAACTGCCTGAGCCTCCGCTAATTGGAATCGCCATGGCAACGTCCACGGCGAGACGAGCGGGGTCGTGGGGTTAGGCTGAGAGGAGTGAGGAGAGGGGATCAAGCGGCTAGGGGGCGTGGGGGGGGCGGGGGAGTTAGGGGGATCAGGGAAAACCCACACCTCACGGGGGAGGAGTGGTGGGGGAGCGATCAGAGCTAAGGGAACAGGGGGAGCAGAAGGATCAAGGAGTGGGGGAGCTGACACCGGAATAACGGAGGAGCGACGCAAGGGGAGGGGGGGTGTGGGGGCCGAGATACGTCTTAGATGAAGAGATCAGAAACGTTAACGTGTCGAGGGAGAGATCTGACATCGGGTTTATTTTTTTTGTTAATGTGAAAATTGTTTTTTAATCACACCTCAACGCGAGCTCGATGCACGGCACCGGTCGCCAAACGAAGAGGGCGGTTGGGGGGGGGGGGGGAGACACAAATTCCGTGAACAGCAGCCCCGAGTTCGACGCGACAGGGCCCAACGAGGAGGGAAAAAACTGGGTTCAGTCCCCGACCCAGGTGGGGAGGCACCACGGTGGCTCGATGTTAATTACCTCGCCTGGTATACAGGAGGTCGTGGGTTCCATCCCGACACCGACGCCTGCTGTATTTTTGGAGTTGTGTGTCTCTCTCTCTTTCTATCCCCGTGGTCGTGTAGTTTTTCTCCGGGACCTCCGGTTTCTTCCCTTCACATTTAGATTCGACATGCGGTATTTTTCTGCTAGAAATGTCCACGTGACAAGCCACTTCATTGAGCTTTCATTTGTGATAAGTCACTTCTGAAAAAAAAGCCATATAGCTCAAGTGGGGCCTTACATTTGTAAAAAATAGTTTAGTTTTATAGTTCAGGGTTCGTAGCGCAGCGCACCACCCACTACACTACCGCTCCACACACCCACTCTCACCCTTTCTCCCACACACCACTCGCGCGTAATGAGTGAGAATGACTCAAGGTCACACGTTAACAAACATACTCGTGGAAAGAAAGGGACAGAGGGGGGAGGGAAAGGGGGGGTGATATTCATTTCAACACTGTTATTGCCCCCAAAAGCCAGCAACAACCAGCACCATAAAACTTGCAAAAGATGAAGAGCACAAGGTCATTGTTATTAAGAGCTCGGGGAACGAGAGTGAACGATGGGAGGAGGGAATTCCCAAGCGGAGCAGCGTGGAGGGAAGAGGGCCAAACGAGAAGTGCAGTGTGGTCAGTGAGTGTGTGGGTGAGTGCATTGAGTGGGGAGCGGTAGTGTAGCGGTTAGCACGCTGCGCTATGAACCTGGCGACCCGGGTTCGATTCCCGCTCACGGCTAACACCAGTGACGGATTATCTGAACCGGTCCTGAGCCTCCCCTAGGTCGACTCAGCCTTAAATGAGTACCTGGTGCGGTGTGTAAACATCGCCACTGGGGAGACAAAGGCGGTCGGGCATGGTGCTGGCCACCCACCCCCTCGTTCGTGTACCGTTCCGGCCTTCATAGGTGCTCGCTAACAGCACTTGCCCCTACAGTCTGTTAAGGCTATACGCGGGATCTTTTTTTTTTGAGTGGGTGAGGGAGTGTGGCCTGCAGTATGGCGAGTGGGTGTGCGAGTAAGTGGCTAGCTAACAGCACTTGCCCCCAAACAGGCTGTTAGGACTATACGAAGATATTTGTCTTTGTCGGCGAGTGAGTGGGTTGAGTGAGAGGCGTTGTGTGTGACCTGCAGTGTGGTGAGAAAGTAGGTGTGTGGGCGGGTGAGTAAGTGTGCGAGCGGATGGGAGGATGAGCAAGTGGGTGAGTATGCGAGTGTGTGTGTGACCTGCAGCATGGTGGTGGTTTAACACACTGTGGGCGAGCCAATTTTCAATTAGCCGTGATATTTGGGATGAGTTTTAGAATGAGATATGGGATACAGATTAATTATGCATTGCTGTTAAGAATTATGGGCAATATAAAAGTCGAAGTGATTTCCTGCTCAAATAAGCAGTGGGTATTGCACATTTCCTATTTACCACACTGCAGACGCCAGTGGGGGAAATTCCACGTTCCTATGACGGGCACGAGTCTACCTACATGACAATCCCCTGTTGACTTCCCCGCAAAGTGATACATAATTTATCGACTCCAGAGGGTTGATGGTAGGCTGAGTCAACCCCCCCCACCACCCTAACCAGGGTTTGAAACCTCAAACTTCCGCTTGCTTGCGAGCAGCCCGGCTCTCAAGCTAAGCCACACGGCCAGTTCTGTTAAGCATCGTGGTTTAAAGCAAATCAATGCAGTGTAAGCAAATATATACATCTCTAAATAAATACGAAACTTAAAGTACGTTTTAGTCCATCCGCCTATTGGCTTTACAGGCCGCAATTACCCATCAGCTTGTGGCAGCATTCATTTAACTCTGGATCGGTTTGTGTCTTTCTGGGTGCTAGGCTTGTGAACATGGGATGTGGGAAGATGTGGATCGGGGGATGTGGCATGAGATATTGGTCAAGTTATTTCACGAGTGGTTCATGCAAATTGCAACGCAATACCGCTGACCATTGCGACGCCACGTTCACACACGACGAGAATATGAGGGCAAGGGAACGCACAACACAACGTGAACTAGAGAGAACACCACAGAGACAACACCAGGGTACGCACAACAAAACATCAACTAGAGAGAACACCACTGAGACACAACAAGACCAAGGGAATGCACAACACAACGTGAACTAGAGAGAACGCCACTGAGATACAACTAGACCAGGGTACGCACAACACAACGTCAACTAGAGAGAACGCCACTGAGATACAACTAGACTAGGGTACGCACAACACAAAGTCAACTAGAGAGAACACCACTGAGACACAACAAGACCAGGGTACGCACAACACAACGTCAACTAGAGAACACCACTGAGACACAAGACCAGGGTATGCACAACACAACGTGAACTAGAGAGAACACCACAGAGACACAACAAGCCCAGGGTACGCACAACACAACGTCAACTAGAGAGAACACCACAGAGACACAACAAGCCCAGGGTACGCACAACACAACGTCAACTAGAGAGAACACCACTGAGACACAAGACCAGGGTATGCACAACACAACGTGAACTAGAGAGAACACCACAGAGACACAACAAGCCCAGGGTACGCACAACACAACGTCAACTAGAGAGAACACCACAGAGACACAAGACCAGGGTACGCACAACACGACGTGAACTAGAGAGAACACCACTGAGACACAACAAGCCCAGGGTACGCACAACACAACGTGAACTAGAGAGAACGCCACTGAGCTACAACTAGACCAGGGTACGCACAACAAAACGTCAACTAGAGAGAACACCACTGAGACACAAGACCAACAGGCCAACACTTGGGGTTTGTCGCAGACAACGTTACGTGCGTGCTAGACTGTGACGCCTTATTTTAGGAAGCTGGCTCGGGGGGGAAGCGGCGACACCGAGCACAACTTCCTGGATGCTCGCAACTTCCCGCGTCTCGTCCCGACGGCACTTGGCGCAGTTTCAAACGAAGCGCCGCGTACCCAAGAGCTGCGAGCGTCGTTTACGAGGATTGTTCTTCGACTCCGGCGGTGCGAGCGAGCCGAAACGACAATTGATAATGATCATCTTGTTAAACGGCGCGCTGTCAAAGGCTCGTGCCACCAATTTCAAATAGTTTGGGCCGTGTCAGGTGGTGGAGTGTTCTTAACGACACGAGATTATTTGGGAAAGATCCCGTACAGATCGTTACGTTGGCGAGCCTAACCCAAGCATCTATTGTGATTTATACAAGATGATGAACTCAGCTGGGAGCCAGTAAACACAAACTCCATGGAGGGGCATCATAAGAGAGTCCAGGGGAATGACGACCACAAAGATGACCCAAGACACCGGTAGGGATATCTGCAACGATGAGAAAGGCCGGACCCCGGCAAGCACGCGTGCCAGATTCTCGGTCCAAGTTTGCGGAATGTTTTTAGTTTTTATTACCTGCAGGCGAACCTGTTTTGGGAAAAACACACAACAGCAGCAGCATAACCGCCGCTTAATCTGAAACTTCTGCGGACCGTCCCCACAGCCTGCCAATCACAGCACCTTCACACGAGATATCATTTGCGCTACGAGGACAGCGCGAAAACCGAATGTGGTCATGTTTAGTATTTTTTTTTAAACGCATTTCGGGGTGTGGGGATGAGGAATGTGTGGGATCGGGGATAAGGGATGAGACATATATGATTGGGGATGAGGAACATACACGATAAGGTATGAGGAATATGTGGGATTGGGAATAGGGGTATGGAGAATATGTGGGATTGGGGATGAGGAATATGTAGGATTGGGAATAGGGGACGAGGAATATGTGGGATAGGTGATGAGGAATGTGAGGTTAAGGGATATTGCATCGGGAATGAGGGATGTGGGATCAGGAATATGGGATGAGGAAAGTGGGATCGGGGGGGGGGTACAGGGGATGAGGGTTTTGGTACCTGGAACAGGGGGGGGTAATGGTAGGGGGGGGATCAATCATGGAAATAGGGTATGAAGGGGGACATGAGATTTCCTTAGATGGACGTGGTATTAGATCATGGCGAGAGGTATGTGGGAGATGAGGAATGTGGGATAAGGGGGTTGTGGAAAGGGGATCATGGAGGACATCTCACCTTTGAGCACCAGCTGGCCGGGCCGCAGAGTGTGGGTGCCCGGGCGGAGGTTTGTGCGCCGCGAGAACCCGGGCACGCACGCGCCCTCCTCATCCTCATCCTGCGACACACAAACAGACAAAGAATGACCCCCTTGTTAACGCACCGTTGGGGTCAAGTTCCGTTCGCGAGCAGCAACCTGTGAACCGCTGGCACGGCGCACGAGGGGCCTTTGTCTCCCCGATGGTGATGTTTACACGCCACAGCAGGTAATCATTGAAGGCCGAGGCAAAGTAAGGGAGGGCCAAGACCCATTCAAATATTAGCCATTGTTAATGTGGTTTGTAGCGCAAAGTGCTAACCACTACACTAGCTCTCAAAACAAAGACCCCTTCCCGCATCGCCTTAACAAACTGATGTGGCAAGTGCTGTTTGTGAGCATCTATGAAGGCCGGCAGGGCACACAAGGGGGTGGGGGTGGACAGCACCACCCCCGGCCGCCTTTGTCTCCCCAGTGACGATGTTTACACACCACACCAAGTGTACTCATTTGAGGCCGAGTCGACCGGGTTCGTAGCGCAGTGCGCCAACCACTCCACACACCGCCGCCTGTCACGCAATCCATTAAGGACTTAACCCTTCAACGATGCAAACTTCAACCCTGACGATGAATCCATGAGAACGCTTTTTATTGGTTAGACCGCGTAAATATAAATTATTTTCGTTAATCCGCCACAACTGACACAGCCAATTAGTAAGGTTCGTCACGAAAACAAAAAGTTTGCAATTAGTTACCAGTTCAGCACAAGGGTGCGTTGCAGAGTAAACCCACAACATTTACAATCTGAGCATGACGTTTTCCGCTGGCGATTAACAAACAGCTCCATCGGGCGATTTGTTAGAATTGTGAAAGCCGTTTCGGTCTTCAATAGAGTCGTCAAGGTGACGATGCAGCTCGATAAACCGAACAATCGACAATCAAGAAGTGGCAAACAACAAACACATCCTTCTCCTGGCCAGAGACCTGACGACACAAAATATCCCCCTGGGCTTCGATCTTCCGTCCCTGAAGCTTCTTGGTGCCCAAACAAACCCCTGAATCGCACGAAATGCTGTACAAACTACGGCAGTAGCAACTAACTATACTCTTTGTAAACAATTGTTTTTAATTTTACCATGTAAGGCCCTCTAAGCTAGATGGCTCTTTTTCAGAAGCGACCTGGCCCACAAATGATAGCTCAACGAAGGGGTTTATGTGGAAAATTATAGCAGCAAAATAATCTAAACGCTTGTATCTAGATGTGGAGGGTAAAACCGAAGGACCTGGAGAAAAATCCACACGACCACGTGGAGAACATTCAAACTCTAAAACATACAACGGGCGTCAGGGTCGGGATTGAACCCACGACCTCCTGTATACCAGGAAAGGTAGTTAACATCTCCTAGCCACCGTGGCGCCCAACATGATGATGCTGCACAAATTGGAAATTTAAAAAAACCTCCCCGGGCAGTGCTTGGAAAATGTGGTCACCACCCACAACAGAATCACGGAAAGTGAATATCGACGTCGTAGGCTCGATTGACAAATACGGAGGTGTGAGAGGCATTTCGTCATCACAGCAGCGATTATTCACCACCCCGCCGACTCCTGTTCTGGCTAAAAAAAAACACTTCAATGCAAAATTAGTTGCTATACGGCAACATGAGCCACACGAAGACAGATCTACAGATTCAAACCGAGACCCATGGACTCACATACAGACCCATGAACTCGTATACAGATCTCTAGATTCACGTCAAGACCCATAGACTTACACAGATCCATGGACTCGCATTCAGACGCGTAGGCTCACACGCAGATCTAGATTCACAGAGACCCGTAGACTCACGTACAGACCCATGGGCTCACAGATCTCTAGATTTACGTCAAGACCCACAGACTTACACAGATCCATGGACTCACATCGAGACGCGTAGGCTCACACGCAGATCTAGATTCAGATCGAGACCCGTAGACTCACATACAGACCCATGGGCTCACACACAGATCCCTAGATTCACGTCAAGATCCATAGACTCCGATAAGATATCCAGAACCACACACATATCTATAGATTCCCCATACAGAACCATAGACTCAAAGAGACCTGCCAATACTGAAACGTATATGAAGGAGGCATCATCGCAACAGCGATAACGCCACTTTCACTACTCCTTGACGCAATCAGGCTCATCAATCTCGCTCTTTGTAAAATCACAGCCGCTTCTCCACATCATCATCATCATAAGCCACACGGAGAAATCACCAAAGATGCCTAAGCAAACTACGGGGGCAAGCGCTTAATACAGGCCAATTTCAAGGGGTGGATGGCAATCACCAGGCACGATCGCCTTTGTCTCACCAGTGCTTGATAGTTGCACACAGCACCAGGCACTCATTTAAGGCTCAGCCGACCTAGGGGAGGCCCGGAAGCGGTACAGATAATCGTCACTGTTGTTGGTAGCGAGCGCGAATCGAACTCGGGTCGCCGGGTTCGTCGTAAAGTGCGCTAACCGCCGCGCCACCGCTCCCCAAGCGCGCACACACACACCCAGGAGGATTGAGGGGGACACAAGATAGAAGGGAAGCTGGGGAGAGACGGGGGGGCCGCCCAGGGAGATAAGGGGGCCCCCACAGGGAGAGACGGGGGGCCCCCCAGGGAGAGAAGGGCCCCCCCCCCAGGGAGATAAGGGGAACCCCCCCAGGGAGATAAGGGGGACCCCACAGGGAGATAAGGGGGACCCCACAGGGAGATAAGGGCCCCCCCCCCAGGGAGAGAAGGGGGACCCCCCCAGGGAGATAAGGGGGCCCCCCCAGGGAGAGAAGGGGGACCCACGGGGATAGAGGGGGGCCAGGGGGATAGAGTGGGGGGCAGGGGGAAAGAGGGGGGCCAGGGGGATAGAGGGGGGCAGGGGTATAGAGGGGGGCCCATGAGAGGACTAGAGGGGGGGCCAGGGGGATAGAGGGGGCACCCAATGAGAAAAGGCATCCGTGAATCGAGGGGATGCAGGGGTAGCAGAGAGAGAGGAGGAGGAGGTGGTGGTGGTGGTAGGGGGGTGATCACGGTGAGAGAAAGAGCAGTGAGAGAGGGGAGCGAGCGCGGAGCAGAGATCGTATTACACGGGGAGGGAGACGACGACGACGACGCAGGGAAGAGGATGGAGGAGGAGGATGAGGGGGGGTACCGAGAGAGGGGATGAGAGACCGACGATGCAAAGGGGTTTTTTGCAATGGACACGAGAGAGCGAGGGGGATGTGCGCATGGGGATGCGATCGCATGTGGATGATGAGTGCGGGGAAACGAACGGGATGGTTGCATCGGGGTGGTGGTGGTGGTGGAGGGGGGGAGATGCGAATGGGTTTAAGCGAAGAAATCGCGAGCGAGAGGAGGAGGAGGAGGGGACCCACGAGGTTGTAAAGTGGCAAAGGGGATAGGGGCAGCAAAAGGGGATGAGGCGGAGACGACACGGACGAGGGGATGCGTGGAGAGGAGCGAGGGCTTCCAAGGGGATACGTGGGGGGCAGGGGGTTAATAAAGGATGCAAAAGGGGGGCTGATGAACGAGCTTGAAAAGGGGATAAAGGGGATGAGGAGGATGGGGCTAAGAGACCCCGTTACCTGAGACTCCGCTTTCACCGCGCCCAGCAGCAGCAGCAGCAGCAGGGGTAGCAGCAGCATCCTGGGGTACAGCCCCCTCATTTCGGGGGTTCCTCTTCAGGGTCCCTGAAGCCCCCAAGGTCCGCCTCAGAGAAGGGGGCTCTCGTCGCTTTGTCTCGCGCCGAGGGGGTATCGATGGCTCCTGCTGCCGTTTGCAAGGTCCCTGATTGTGTTTGTGGTGGTGACGAGGGGGGTTTGGGCGGGAAGGGGTATTTGGGGGGGTATCTGTGGGGGTCTGTGGGGGTCTGGGGGGGGGTCTGTGCCCCCTGGCTGCTGTGGGGGGTCCCGGGCTCGCGGGGTCCGATCGGCGACTGCGCCCGCGGGAAAATGGCGCAGAGCGCTGGCGCGAGAGGGAGAGAGGGGGGGGTGGGTGGGGGTGGGGGGAGGTAGCACCTGGCGTGACGTCACTTCCCGAGTGACGAAATGGCACCGCCCACTACCTGCGGGGGAGGGGGAATGAAGGGGGGTGGAGGGGTGGGAATAAAGTGCGGGGGGGGGGATAAAGTGGGGAGGGATAATGGGGGAGGAGAATAAAGTGGTGGGGGTAAAGCGGGGGGGGGGGGGGTAAAGCGGGGGGGGGGGGATAAAGCGGGGGGGATAAAGCGGGGGGGGAGTATAAAGCGGGGGGGGGGGAATAAAGCGGGGGGGGGTAGGGTAAAGCGGGGGGGGGGGGGAATAAAGCGGGGGGGGAATAAAGCGGGGGGGGAGTATAAAGCGGGGGGGGAGTATAAAGCGGGGGGGGGTAAAGCGGGGGGGGGAATAAAGCGGGGGGGGAATAAAGCGGGGGGGGATTAAAGCGGGGGGGATATAAGCGGGGGGGGGGTATAAAGCGGGGGGGGAATAAGCGGGGGGGGATAAGCGGGGGGGATAAAGCGGGGGGGGAGTATAAAGCGGGGGGGGGGGGGGAATAAAGCGGGGGGGGGATAAAGCGGGGGGGGAGTATAAAGCGGGGGGGGGGGAATAAAGCGGGGGGGATAAAGCGGGGGGGGGGGAATAAAGCGGGGGGGATAAAGCGGAGGGGGATAAAGCGGGGGGGGGGGAATAAAGCGGGGGGGGGGGAATAAAGCGGGGGGGATAAAGCGGGGGGGGGGGAATAAAGCGGGGGGGGAATAAAGCGGGGGGGGATATAAAGCGGGGGGGGGGGGAATAAAGCGGGGGGGGATAAAGCGGGGGGGGGGGGGGAATAAAGCGGGGGGGATAAAGCGGGGGGGGGAATAAAGCGGGGGGGGGGAATAAAGCGGGGGGGGATAAAGCGGGGGGGGGGGGAATAAAGCGGGGGGGGATAAAGCGGAGGGGGATAAAGCGGGGGGGGGGGAAATAAAGCGGGGGGGGGGAATAAAGCGGGGGGGATAAAGCGGGGGGGGGGGAATAAAGCGGGGGGGGGGAATAAAGCGGAGGGGGATAAAGCGGGGGGGGGGAATAAAGCGGGGGGGGGGGGAATAAAGCGGGGGGGATAAAGCGGGGGGGGGGGAATAAAGCGGGGGGGGGAATAAAGCGGGGGGGGATAGAGCGGGGGGGATAAAGCGGGGGGGGGAGTATAAAGCGGGGGGGGAATAAAGCGGGGGGGGATAAAGCGGGGGGGATAAAGCGGGGGGGGAGTATAAAGCGGGGGGGGGGAATAAAGCGGGGGGGGATAAAGCGGGGGGGGAGTATAAAGCGGGGGGGGGGGAATAAAGCGGGGGGGATAAAGCGGGGGGGGGGGAATAAAGCGGGGGGGGATAAAGCGGAGGGGGATATAAAGCGGGGGGGGGAATAAAGCGGGGGGGGGGGGAATAAAGCGGGGGGGATAAAGCGGGGGGGGGGGAATAAAGCGGGGGGGGGGAATAAAGCGGGGGGGATAAAGCGGGGGGGGGGGAATAAAGCGGGGGGGGATAAAGCGGAGGGGGATAAAGCGGGGGGGGGGAATAAAGCGGGGGGGGGGGGAATAAAGCGGGGGGGGGGAATAAAGCGGGGGGGATAAAGCGGGGGGGGGGGGAATAAAGCGGGGGGGGATAAAGCGGAGGGGGATTAAAGCGGGGGGGGGGAATAAAGCGGGGGGGGGGGAATAAAGCGGGGGGGGGGGGAATAAAGCGGGGGGGATAAAGCGGGGGGGGGGGGAATAAAGCGGGGGGGGGGAATAAAGCGGGGGGATAAAGCGGGGGGGGGGGGGAATAAAGCGGGGGGGGATTAAAGCGGAGGGGGATAAAGCGGGGGGGGGGAATAAAGCGGGGGGGGGGAATAAAGCGGGGGGGGGGGGAATAAGCGGGGGGGATAAAGCGGGGGGGGGAATAAAGCGGGGGGGGATAAAGCGGAGGGGGATAAAGCGGGGGGGGGGAATAAAGCGGGGGGGGGGGAATAAAGCGGGGGGGGGGGAATAAAGCGGGGGGGATAAAGCGGGGGGGGGGGGGGAATAAAGCGGGGGGGGGAATAAAGCGGGGGGGATAAAGCGGAGGGGGATAAAGCGGGGGGGGGGGAATAAAGCGGGGGGGGGGGAATAAAGCGGGGGGGGGGGGGAATAAAGCGGGGGGGATAAAGCGGGGGGGGGGGGGAATAAAGCGGGGGGGGATTAAAGCGGAGGGGGATAAAGCGGGGGGGGGGAATAAAGCGGGGGGGGGGGAATAAAGCGGGGTGGGGGGAATAAAGCGGGGGGGATAAAGCGGGGGGGGGGGGAATAAAGCGGGGGGGGGGAATAAAGCGGGGGGGAATAAAGCGGGGGGGATAAAGCGGGGGGGGGGGGGGGAATAAAGCGGGGGGGGATAAAGCGGAGGGGGATAAAGCGGGGGGGGGGGAATAAAGCGGGGGGGGGGGAATAAAGCGGGGGGGGGGGGAATAAAGCGGGGGGGATAAAGCGGGGGGGGGGGAATAAAGCGGGGGGGGGGGAATAAAGCGGGGGGGATAAAGCGGGGGGGGGGGGGGAATAAAGCGGGGGGGGATAAAGCGGAGGGGGATAAAGCGGGGGGGGGGAATAAAGCGGGGGGGGGGGAATAAAGCGGGGGGGGGGGAATAAAGCGGGGGGGGATAAAGCGGGGGGGGGGGAATAAAGCGGGGGGGGGAATAAAGCGGGGGGGATAAAGCGGGGGGGGGGGGGAATATAAGCGGGGGGGGATAAAGCGGAGGGGGATAAAGCGGGGGGGGGGGAATAAAGCGGGGGGGGGGGAATAAAGCGGGGGGGGGGGGAATAAAGCGGGGGGGATAAAGCGGGGGGGGGGGAATAAAGCGGGGGGGGATAAAGCGGAGGGGGATAAAGCGGGGGGGGGGGAATAAAGCGGGGGGGGGGGGAATAAAGCGGGGGGGGGGGGGAATAAAGCGGGGGGGGGGGGAATAAAGCGGGTGGGATAAAGCGGGGGGGGGGGAATAAAGCGGGGGGGGGGAATAAAGCGGGGGGGATAAAGCGGAGGGGGATAAAGCGGGGGGGGGGAATAAAGCGGGGGGGATAAAGCGGGGGGGGGGGGGAATAAAGCGGGGGGGGGGGGTATAAAGCGGGGGGGATAAAGCGGAGGGGGATAAAGCGGGGGGGGGGGGGGGGGGGGAATAAAGCGGGGGGGATAAAGCGGAGGGGGATAAAGCGGGGGGGGGGGGAATAAAGCGGGGGGAATAAAGCGGGGGGGATAAAGCGGGGGGGGGGGGGGGAATAAAGCGGGGGGAGTATAAAGCGGGGGGGATAAAGCGGGGGGGGGGATAAAGAGGGGGGGGGGGAATAAAGCGGGGGGGGATAAAGCGGGGGGGGGATAAAGAGGGGGGGGGGGATAAAGCGGGGGGGGGGTTAAAGCGGGGGGGGGGGAATAAAGCGGGGGGGATAAAGCGGGGGGGGGGGGGGAATAAAGCGGGGGGGGGGGGAATAAAGCGGGGGGGATAAAGCGGAGGGGGATAAAGCGGGGGGGGGGGGAATAAAGCGGGGGGGATAAAGCGGGGGGGGGGAATAAAGCGGGGGGGGGGGTATAAAGCGGGGGGGATAAAGCGGGGGGGGGGGGGGGAATAAAGCGGGGGGGATAAAGCGGAGGGGGATAAAGCGGGGGGGGGGGGAATAAAGCGGGGGGAATAAAGCGGGGGGGATAAAGCGGGGGGGGGGATAAAGAGGGGGGGGGGATAAAGCGGGGGGGGGGATAAAGAGGGGGGGGGGATAAAGCGGGGGGGGGTTTAAAGCGGGGGGGGGAGGTAAATCGGGGGGGGTAAAGCGGGGGGGGGGGGTAAATCGGGGGGGAGGTAAAGCGGGGGGGGGGGGGTAAATCGGGGGGGGTAAAGCGGGGGGGGGGATGGTGGGATAATAAAGAGAGAAGAAATAAATGCGGCGGGGGGGGAGGAAGGCGGAAACGAGGGGGGTGGGGGAGTGACGAGGTGAGTGAGTGCGGGGAGTGGTGGGGGGCAAAGGTGGGGGAGGGGGGAGGGGGGCACGTGCTGATTGCGCCGAGTCAATCATCACGTGCGGCATTCATCATCAACTCGCTGTGCTCACAACAATGAGTCGGTGCGAGTACTGCACTGTACGAGGCTGCGATCTTTATCCCTCCGTATGCGAACGAGTCTCTGTGCGAGTCTCTAAGTCTCTATGTAAGTACTGTCTATGCGCGTCTGTAGGTCTCTATGTAAAGTCTATGGAAATACAGTACTGACTTTGTGGGTCTCTATGGGAGTCTGTTGGGTGTCTATTGGAGTCTATGTGGTGTCTATGTGGGTCTCTCTGTAAAGTATATAGGAATACAGTACTGAGTATAAGTCTATGCCTTTATACGTGGCTTTGTGGGTCTCTATGGGATTCTGTGGGGTGTCTATGGGAGTCAGTGGGGTGTCTATGTGGGTCTCTCTGTAGAGGCTACGGATCTCACTTTCACTGCTGGATGAAGGCCCCCTCCAATCCGCCAACGCCACATTCCACGATCCTTTGATGCAATCTCGTAATCTCGCACCCGCACACGAGACGATTGCATCGCTCCGTGTGCCACCGGTTCCGTTCCGTGAGCCAAGAGTGAAAGGGGAAAAAAAGGAGTGGGGGCAGCCCCGCCCCTCCACCCCCAGCCCCGCCCCTCTACCCCCAGCCCCGCCCCTCCACCCCCAGCCCCGCCCCTCCACCCCCAGCCCCGCCCCTCCACCCCCAGCCCCGCCCCTCCACCCCACTCCCCTCCCCCCTCACTCACACACGCCCCTCCCCCTCAAACTCCCCACCATCCCGCGATGAATCACGTGGCCGCGAACGAGTTAACGAATGAGTTCATTGATCATTAATGTAACTTATAATATTAACGAGTTTATTTGGCAGGAACACTTTTTTATCCGATTGGCG